ACAGTGGCAAACAGTGTTTAAACAGTGCCAAACAGTGTTTAAACAGTGCTAAACAGTGTTTAAACAGTGCAAAACAGTGCACTCTACAGTAAAGTCAAATTTATTTCTTAAAAGTGTGTGAAAGTCCAACCGGGAAGTTGTTTTCGGGACGGAGGGAGTATACCGGAGTATGTCTTTCCTTCTTAGATAACTGATTGGGCACACTTCACCTTTGGTCCAAAAAATTTCAATGATCCGGATATTTTTCTAATTGAGACAATGATCTACTTTCTTGCTATGTATTCTCAATTGAAATTAATATACGAATTTAAATGTACTCTGTAGTGGTTATTACGATAGTACTTGTTATAATTTGCAATTGCAAACAATGAAAATTTTATCAAAGAAATTAAATGTTTGAATATCGGAAGAATTGAGATTTGAGTATGACAATTTACGATGTACAAAAAATGTTCAAGTGATGAAAATTTTAATAAAAATCTTAAACTTACACTTTGGATTACTCCCTAGGTACATCATATATAATTAAGTCTTCTAATTTTTTGTACTCCCTCACCTGACAAGCCTTCCACATCTCTCACAGTCTCACATGGACATGTGCACCGTCTTGAGCTCCCAACAAGCGAAATAACCTACAAGATTGTGAGAGAGAGAAATCAAGAAGTGAAGCTGACAAAGAGAGGTGATCCAAAATGGACGCAATGAAGCCTGAACCATTATACTTTGTGCAATGTGTGTTGCGTGAAAGAGACAAGTCCATTTAGATTCATCCTGGTGCCATGAAGTGGATTGGTCAGTTTGAAGTTTCCAGGCTTGCCCATGGGCTTTGGAATCGTACACTTCGACGATCAATCGCATGAAGTTCAACCAAAAATAGGCTGAGAATCCAAATTACATAAACGCAAAGTTCACCCTTTATGTCTTTCCATATGTGTTTACAGGTACGTAAATCTTCATAGGTGATACGTTTTTTCAAGTTACACCATATTAGTGTTGTTGTCATTAATACTTCTTTAACTACAATACATGTGAATCTTATTTAGGTTTGGGCTTATGAGACAATACCACGCCTTGGGAACGAGCTTGGCAGTAATCCTATATGCATACTTAACTAGAAAGCGGATGGATTTTTTCACACTGCCAAGCTTCAAGAATCAGTGTTCACAGAGGTAATCATTGGTGCTCACAAACACACTTCAATCATATTTGAAAATTTTGTGTGTGGGCACAAACAGTTTTGTGAAGTATCAGCATAATTATGTTGTAACTGCCTCTGTACACAGACATCCCATATGGAAAGAGGGAGGATATCAAACACATGTTTCTTACCTTTGACCCCCTTAAAAGAGATGCACCTTGTTTATTAATCATTTTTTCATGTAACTTTGTTTCATATCGGAAGAATGGAGATTTGAGTATGACAATTTAAGATGTACAAAAATGTTTAAGTGATGAAAATTTTAATAAAAATGCTAAATGTGCATTCTAGATTACTCCCTACGTACATCATATATAATTAAGTCTTCTAATTTTTTTTACTCCCTTACCTGACAAGCCTTCCACATCTCTCACAGTCTCACATGGTCACATGTGCACCGTCTTGAGCTCCCAACAAGCGAAATAACCTACAAGATTGTGAGAGAGAGAAATCAAGAAGTGAAGTCGACAAAGAGAGGTGATCCAATGGACGCAATGAAGCTTGAACCGTTATACTTTGTGCAATGTGTGTTGCTTGAAAGAGACAAATCCATTAAGATTCATCCTGATGCCATGAATTAAAATTTCAAATAAATTAAAATTTATGATATTTTAGGTCTTAGATTGATAGCTTTCAATTATTCATATCATGGAATAATTGGAATAATCATCACACATTTTGTCTTTTAGGTCCCTTATTGATACTAAACCTATCTTTTAGGTCATGGGATGATTAAAACAATCCTTTGCTACACACGAGAAAAATGGCATTGCGATTAATTCAACTGAATGAATTACAAATAAGACTTTTATATTCATAATGAAGAAGTGCCTAGAATTTTGATAACACATTTTATTAACAATTCTTTTTATGTATCCCTTGAATATGATTCCTGAGTCTTCCCATTAACTGCTCTCATTAATAGTTACTCAGCGATCGAATATTTAAGTAGAAAAACAAATGATCATCAACAAAGACTTATAATAATGATGATAAATTGTTTTATATTTTAAAAATTAATTTTATGTACAACTTTCATTGAATTTAAGAGGTATATTAAATTTAATTTAATGTGAGGGGTATATAGTGAGAATGATCAAAACTTAAGGGGTAACTAATTGATTTTTGAAAATGCAAGGTTGCATTAACAATTATGTTATAACCTGAGGGGGCTAATAATAATTTTCCCTAACAACTAAGTGACTTTATTCTCCGAAATTTGAGCATATATGCATTTAATTGCTTGATCTCCCTTTTGTATATTCATATTTAAATGTAAGTATACCAATTTCTATCCTATAAGCGATTCATTGTATTGGAATTTGTGGATTCTTTTGCAATTGAGAACCAACTATTTATAGACCAACACTGCTCTTCCATTTGCTCTGCGCATTTATAACTTCTCCTTTATTCATTTTTTTCATTCGTTTTCTGCAACAGCTTATGTGCACTATGTACAGATATGTTGAACTCATTAACCTAATTTGTTATCACGCATCTCTCAAGTTTTTCTTATGTAATGGACTAACTAATTTTCAATTATTCTGATTATATATTCTTGTTTACAATTTTGGCCAACGTTCGTGTATTCATTTACTATGTATTAATCTTCTTTCACCATATGTCCACTTTGTCTCTCGTGTAGGTACAAATGCAAGTTCTTGTAAAAAGCTCAACATGCATATCCAAGAGAGCAAAACAATGATCAAGAAAAGGAATAAAATATAGAAAGTATGTGTAAATGTAAAAGTATAATGCATTGTTAGGTAGTGTAATGAATGTTGTGTATTCATAGTTGTTATGTGCTTGGATGCAATCCATATATTTTATAGGAAATTAAATTCAACCATAACTTTTTCTTCATTTTTTCATCAGTTGCAAGTTGCAACATTGACAAGGTTATGCACTATATGTAGTGTACCACACATTGAATGGGCACATCTCCTATTTTCTTAATATGAATAGTAATAGGTTTTCGTATTTAAAAGATATAAGTGAAAAGCCATCACAGAAAATATATCACTTAGAAAGCTATAGAACAAATAAGACTAACATAAGGAACGAAGTATACATATGAGTGTGACTCAGTGATCGTATCTCGTATCAAATAAATAATGTTACTGCCATGAAACTAAGAATGAGTCTAAGACATATATATTTGACGTTATGACTAAATACTTTAAATTTAAGTACAAAAACAAATCCATGCACCCTTTAGTATCAAAAGATTTTGTAGAAATGTGTTAAAACAAAAATAATTAAATAAAAATGTTGTGACATTTTGATAAATGAAAAAACTTTTTGCGCCAATAAAAAAGTATTGTATATCATCTAATAGTAACACGTAGTACTATAGAATTGAAAGTGAAATCATTGACATATCACATTTTATTAATTGGATAAAATTAGATATTTCCTTTGAATCAATAAATAAAGAATTATTCCATTATTGGTTTCACCCTTTTATTAATAAATTAGAAGCCTGTTTGGTAGTATTGAAATAGGTTGAATCGATTGAATCTATTGAAATTAAGTAACGAAATTATAATTGATTCGGTTGAATTGACTGGATATGCTAAAATATGTAAAATTCAAGTTTTAAATATATGTTATTGATAAAATATGAAAAAGCACTTAAAACGATACTCTAGAATAACTTCGATAAAATCAAACAGAAGTACAACTTCAACTTTATTTATTTTGATTATTACGCAATAAGTCATGTAAAATCAAAAGTAATGTATTTAGTAAAAAGTTTTTTTTATCGTCAAAACGGATGACTTAAATTACTATCACAACATTCAGATAGGGGGTAAGACGACAAAAGGACCGTAGACAACTATCAACCCTTGAACCAGATTTAGAGTCAATCACCTCCAGAAAAGCAATATAACTTGTTGAACTTATAATGGGCATAAATGAGCCAACGACGGTTAAAGCAGACCTCCTATCAGCCAATCCTAATGCAAGAGTCTTACAACAATAAAAGTAACCAACGCAAAAATAAACAGACTGATCATGAAAAATAAAAAGCATGCAAACAGTAAAATTAAAAAACTGCTTCCAAACCCTAAACTCTCTTGCACTCCATGGCGGTGGTTCAGGAGGGGGACGGACCAACGGTACTGTAGCTTCTCCCGCTCATTGCCTTCGGTCCAGATCTGTTCCAGTCCCTAGCCACACGCTTCGTCCATGACCTTCTGATTTCAACCACGAACGACATCCTCGAAACTCTACATCTGCTGGCAGGGGTACACAACTTTTGGCCGTCATATACACGTTGTGGTCTGGCGAAGAAGAGAGACTAACGAAAGCCGCACAAAAAAAACGTTCTTCGCCAAAGACGGCCAACTAGAGAGAGAATGTCTCTTAGCGGCACCGCTCCTAGAAGAGGTCATAGCGGACAAAGTGGTGGAAACCCTTGAGAGAGAAACCAATAAAGATGGTGTGTATTTAAAATTCCTTTTCTAATTTTTAGTAAAAAGATTTATTGACAAAAAGGAATTTTTAAAAAATATTTCTAAAATAAAAATGTATTTATACAAATATGATTAATACGTAATTTCTCATCTGAATTCTGAATCACTGAGGGTCTGTTTGCAACAGTTTCTGCTTTTAAAAAAGTGCCTTTTTAAATGAAATGGGGAGAAGTGATTAAATAAAAGTTGATAGTGTTTGGGAAAAAAGTGATTTTGAAAAGTAAAAGTGAGTAATGTTTGGTAAAATAAGTGCTTTTTGTATAATAGAAAAAGTAAAAGCACTTTTGACGCGGAAGCCAAGAAAAATAAAAGTTGTAGTGTTTAGGAAAGTAAGTGTTTTTTTAAAGCCAAAAGTTGAGAAGTGCTGAATGTGCTGGACGGGTTCTGGGATCTAAATTAGGGTTTGAATCTAGTTTTGCATTTTTTAATTGAATCATCTTCGAAACGAGCCTTAAGTTCAACAATGGATGCTGCTCGATCTCAAGAACGGTATCAAAACGAGATCAATTGGGACAAGTAAGCTTTCCCTCGATTGCTTCTAAATTTAACTCTTCATTTTAATTTTCTTTTTCAATTCTCATTCTTTTATGAAACGAGAAATTATTATGGCGGTTTATGTTACTGATCCGAGTGATGAATGGCTAATCATGGAAGGTATTGTGGTGTTAAATATGTGAATGCTCCCTGCGTTAATGATGTTTCATCCAGAATAATTTTTTTTCATTTCTGATTTGAAGTGAATTTTCAAATTTGTGATATGATCCACTCCTCTTGCAGGCTTGATAAAAAGAAATTCTATATCTTAGGCGCCGGGATTTTTACTGGGATTACAGTTGCACTTTATCCCATTTCAGTTGTCAAGACAAGATTGCAGGTTTCTAACCATTATGCTGCAGAAAAAAATGCTTTTTCTGTGTTGAGGGGGGTTGTTAAAGCAGACGGGATTCCCGGTTTGTATAGAGGTTTTGGTACAGTCATCACTGGTGCAATTCCTGCCAGAATTATATTTCTCACGGCATTGGAGACAATAAAAGTAGCCTCTTTTCAGATGGTTGAGCCATTCCAATTATCAGAACCTACACAGGCGGCCATAGCAAATGGTATTGGTGGCATGTTGGCATCTCTTTGTTCACAGTCTGTATTTGTTCCAATTGATGTGGTATGCAAAAGGATAACCAGTGTCAATATCATGTTCTTGAGTGATTGTTCACACTTCCTAGCATTTGTCTCAGATTTCACCCTAAAATTTGTTAACTTATTAAAGAGGTAAGATGGCACTTGTAGAATCGCAGTCGCCCGAAGTATAGATTTTTCTCAATTATTTGTGTCACCTCTTCTAGTCCATATTGTCATTGTATTTTTAGTTCTTATTACATTAAAACTTATCTAAAATATACACTTTTAAACCTCTAAACTTTAAGAATACTAGCATCATTTCACACGGTTGTAATCGAATATTATGTGATCTGCATTTGAAAATCAATTACTTTATGTCTTTATGATATCTAACCCACAAATAATTGAAAGAGTATATTTGTAAAAAAATCCAGATCACTTGATGTTAACCCCATTACACCTTCAGCCCTGTTTTTAATATACATTTTCCTTTTTGGGCTGTCCTAAAAATGAGCAACTTTCCAAAATAAACTCCGCTAGATTTTTACTTTCCCGTTTTATCTTGTTATCTATCATTTCACCTTTTTGCTTTTTTGTACCCTGTACCCATGCTACTTTTTCTTATTTTTTGGAGGTTAAAATTGTGAAACAATGAATTTATCCTTTATTTTTTTAAAACCCGGGCGAAACACAAATGAACCTTACACTGTTGGATAGAGTCATAGAGGGAGTACTTTTAATAGTGAAAGAAAATCACACTTTTTATAAATTTAGTATGATATTTTCATCTGTCTTTCCCTCTATACCCTCTAAATATCATGAGAACTTATCACTTCAATTGAATTTGGATGGAATAGGGTAAAAACGCTAGTTATGTGAATAGTAAAATGGAAAAACTATATGTGACATGTAGAGTAATGATGGACTGAATGTGCCACTTTTAAGTCTACCTTAGGAACCGATAGATTTAATACGATGAATTGAGGTACTCAGTTTACTTTTTCTAGAGACTGAAAGTGCACATTTTCCCTATCAACTCTATTTACAAAAAAATTATTGTAGCATTGCTATCCAATAAAAGAAAGTCTTTCTAACGTCTACTTTATCACTTTCATTTTCATTTAACTAAATATTCTTTTGTTTGTGCGAAATTGAATGGTAAAGGTTAGCCAACGGTTGATGGTGCAAGGATATTCAGGGCATGCCAACTACAACGGGGGCGTAGATGTTGTTAGGAAAGTCTTAAAATCTGAAGGCGTTCGCGGATTGTATAGAGGATTTGGTCTCTCTGTTTTAACATATTCCCCATCAAGTGCAGTTTGGTGGGCTAGCTATGGTTCTAGCCAGCGCTTCATATGGAGGTAAGCCATTCGAGGAATTCGTTTCCCTTTCTTATGAGGTCTCAGAAAACTCTGTAAAGCATTTCATTACATGTGTTTGGCAGCCTTTTGGGATATGGGACTGAGAAGGGTCTAACTGATCCTAGCCAGGGAAGGATAGTATCAGTTCAAGCTGCTGGTGGAATTATTGCGGGTGTTACTGCATCTTGTATTACTACTCCATTAGATACCATAAAAACGCGTTTGCAGGTACCAATTAACTGATAATATTTGTTAAATGCAGCTTATAGCACCTCAGTGCTGGTGGAAAACTGAATGAACATATTATGTTTCATGAGCGCTAATTTTCCTTTTTTGTGCTGAGGATATATTTGGAATACAAATATTACTTTGGAATGAGAATAGGAAGGCCAACATAGAAGAAAAAAAGTTGCACGAAAGCAAAAGATAGACTAGTACTCAAAAACATTAATTTAAATATTAGTTGATATTCATTTTTAACAACTTGTTTATGTCGACTACATACAGATTAAGAAATTTAGACATATGGAAGTCTTTTAAAACTAATTGGATTTAATTTTCGTTGCATCTTACAAGGCAAGTGGTAGCATAAGAAAATTGCTTTCTTTAACATTCTTATCCTTTCCCTGGCATTTTCTGGGATCCAAATATACCCTAGAAGGCTAGATGAAATCGTACAAGCATGGCCTTAAATGCTGACATTTATATATCCCACCCTAATTTTGACTTTTGATTGGAAACCAATTATTTTGTTCTGCCCTCTGGTTTAAGATTGTGAAGAAGAAAGGGAGTATTAGTTTTAGGCTTAGCAGGTGATACCGGAAATAAACCTTGTCTCCATTTAATTGTGTAGCTTTTGGTGAATTGCAGGTGATGGGTCATGGAAATAATAGACCTAATGCAAGACAAGTAGTGAAACAGTTGATTGCAGAAGATGGTTGGACAGGATTATATAGAGGATTGGGTCCAAGATTTGTCAGCATGTCTGCTTGGGGCACCTCAATGATACTTGCCTATGAATATCTCAGTAAGCCATCTTTCCCCCAATCCCAGACGTAACCACTTGCTGGGTTTCATTATTATCTTATTTCCTTCCTTATCTTTAATTTTCATCTTTCTTGCATAAAATGGGAGCTATTGGTGATAAAATGGAATTAACTGGTGAGTGATCAGTTTTTTTTTAATGTAGAACGCTTATGTTCAAAGGAGTAAATAGGTTCATGAATGCCACAGCGCCTTTTCATGCTTGTGGTCTCAACTTTGGAGTCAAAACACGGTCACATTCAGAGGTATATGCAAAATGCTCATTTTGGTTCCTTGATTTCTTCAAGACATTTATATAATAGTGTCATCTGATGTTTGTTTTGAAATCCGTGGCAGGACAATGAAGTCTGTTTTCTGTCCCGAAAAAAATGGCTTGCTTGTAATAGTTTTGAGTGTGGGAAACAAACACTCCTTTTCAGGATTCTTTTGTATATGAAGGCATGCAAAATAATACCAGTGAAACATTCTTTCCTTTTGGTTTCCATGATTTCTCAAATGTAAAATTACACAAACTCAGCTGTTTCTACTTTTCTGTGTATCTGTATAAGTTAGGTTTCCATAGGTACCGTAATGGGTGCTCAGCACAAGGAATACATTTCACCATTAGATAAAGATCAAATCCGTTATGGTCATTCTAGGGTTCATCAATTCTGTGCACTGTAAGCGTTTTTAATTGTTGCTTCTACACACACAGTATTTATTCATACATAATCATTTTGAAAGTTCAAACCATTTTGATATAGTTCTTCACAAGTGACATAATGAGTGCAGATGTTACTAGGGGTGGACAGTGGACCTGTCTGCGTTTCTAAACCAACCGGCGTTTGGCCACTTTTTGGGTTTAAGATTAGGACTGTTTTTACGATATTTAACCCAGAAACAAGTCTAAATTCTATTTGGTTTTGAAGACAGTTCTAGCCAGTTTTGGTATCGCTTTTTATTAAATAAGCTTAAAACCTGGGTGGCTGGGTAGGATCTTAACCAGATTGGGAGTCAAAATGTTCCGATTTGGAACCAGACTGGTAAAACTTGTTTGGGTTTCGATTCTTACCTTAATAGGAACTGGAACTGGTTGGTCTGGAGTCTGATCTGGTGCACCGGAGTTTAATTTTGTTCACCTCCCAATGGGAGGGTGAACATAACCCTCTAATTTTTTAATATTAAAAGTACCCCACATAACCCTCTAATTTACATCAAATAGAACTAGACTCTTAAAATCCTCATCGAATACTATAAACTTTTACTTCGTACTATATACTGAAATTCAGCTAACAATAATACTACGGGGACTTTTCTTAACGTCAAAATCAATTGTATCTGTTAAAATAAAACATGCTTGAAGCAGTTGAATAAGATGAAAAATGCTAAATTATGAAAGAAAATTAGTTACAATATATTTATTCTGTTAATTTTATACGATAGTATCTGTCAAAATTTTAAAAAAAAACCGCTGTGCATCTGTCAATTAAAAAAATAGTTTGTCCTAACAAAAATCATAACAAAAGCACATAACCTATGTAAGGTACTCCGTATAAAACTAAAAAGCACCCGCATGTTTAATCTAAATGAATATTCAAAGGAAAGATGCCCGGTTACCAATAGAGAAAGGATATCTGTATACAGTATACGGATATCCTTTCTCTATTGGTAACCGGGCATCTTTCCTTTGAATATTCATTTAATATTAAAAGTATACGGTATACTTTTAATATTAAAAAATTAGAGGGTTATGTTCACCTTCAAAATGGGAGGTGAACAAAATTAAACTCGGTGCACCGTGGTGAGTGATTTGTACAATTATTCTGCTGCTCTTTATTAACAAACTTGCTGGTCAATTGAACCCTCAGAGTAAAAAAAAACATAAATGATCAATATATAAATGCCATTTTTAATTTAGCCCCTGAAGTATACCAAAAAAGTCAATTGAAACCCTCAAAGTAAATAAGAACACCCAATTAAGAAGTTGTTCTGTTCGTCTTAATCTTATTACTTATTGCTTATTCTTATTTTATTCAGATCAGATCAGAAAAATTCAGATCAGATCATAAAGATTCAGATCAGATCAGAAAGATTCAGATCAGATCAGGAACATTCAGATCAGATCAGGAACATTCAGATCAGATCAGGAACATTCATATCAGATCAGAAAAGTTCAGACATGATTTATCCTTTTTATTATAATAATAATTGTAATAATATTTATAAAAAATATAATAATTATAATAATTATAATTATTATTATTCTTGTTGTTGTTATTGTAATTATTATAATTAATATTATTATTGATATTATTATTTGTATTAGTATTCGTATTAGTATTATTATTATTATTAGTATTATTATTATTATTATTATTATTACTATTATTATTATTATTACTATTATTATTATTGTTATTATTATTATTATTATTATTATTATTATTATTATTATTATTATTATTATTATTATGATTACTATGATTATGATGATGATGATATTTATTATTATCATGATTATTATTATTCTTACTACTAATATGGTTGTTGTTGTTATTGTTATTAGTTTTGTTTTCATTATTATCATATTATACGGAGTAATTACAATTAAAATTATAGAAATAAATATTGTAATTATAATTAAAATTACAATTATAGAAATAAATATAACTATAAATATAATTACAATTATAATTATAGCTATATTTATAACTAGTGTAATACGTATAATAATAATTATATCTATTATAATTATGTTTGTAATTATAATTATAATTTTTATAATTATGATTATAATTATAATTATATTTAAATTATATATGTGTAATTACATTTATAATTATAGTAATTATAATTGTAATTATAATTTTAGAAATATTCAAATCCGATCAGATCAGAAAGATTCAGATCAGAAAGATTCAGATCAGATCAGAAGGATTCAGATCAGATCAGGAACATTCAGATTAGATCAGGAACATTCAGATCAGATCAGAAACATTCAGATCAGATCAGAAAGATTCAGATCAGATCAGAAAAATTCAGATTAGATCAGATCAGAACTTAAAAAATTCAGATCAGAAACATTCAGATCAGGTGAAGAGAACAACTTCTAAGTCTTTGAAGTACACAAAAATGATCAAATTTGTAATCGGTTACTCCTAGGTTATCTGTTAACTGTGTTGATGTGTCATTCCAGATGTCATTTTTGACATTTTTCTTTATTTTTTTTCTCTTTCCTTCTCTTTTCCATTTTTTCTCGGCCCACCTCCCCCTTTTTCTTTATTTTTGGCCCCACCTCCAACTTCTTCCTCGCAGGATCCGGTTACCCTTTCTTCTATGGCTACTTTACTTTCCAACCAGCTCCAGAATCAATTGCATCGTTGCTACCGGAGATCAAAGAAGACTTGCATCGTTGGTGCCGGAGTGGTGGGGTTCGGTTCGCCCTTCACAGCCGTCGGAGACGGGGGGCCATCAATGGTTCCGAGGGAGGTTTGTGTTGGATGATGTCGAGATCTGGTCAGCTACCGGTTCCATCTTCTCCAGTGGTTGCAACAATAAAGAACATAACTCTTGCAAGAAAGAACATAACTCTTGCAAGAGTTTATTGTTCTTTGAGAGTTCTTTATTGTAATACATTTAGTTTTATTGGAGTAAAGGGTCAGTTTAGTCCTCGAAGTTGCAAAAAAGACGTCAAATAAGTCCTTATATAGAAGATTATGTCCAGACGTGCCATTTGAGGTGGCTCCCGGTGGAATTTTGTGATAATTTTTTTTGAGCATCTTATTCATTAAGTCTAGTTTGCTCATACCAAATTTCAGCTAAAAATTCAATCGGGAAGACATTCAAATGAATTCTTGAAGATAACAGCGCTTTTAATGGCACAGTTATCTTCAAGAATTCATTTGAATGTCTTCCCGATTGAATTTTTATCTGAAATTTGATATGAGTAAACTAGACTTAATGAATAAGATGCTCAAAAAAATTCATCAAAAAATTCCACCGGGAGCCACCTCAAATGGCACGTCCGGACAGAATTTTCTATATAAGGACTTATTTGACCCTTTTTTGCAACTTCGAGGACCAAACTGACCCTTATCCCGTTTTATTGCAAGACTTTGAGGATTGAATCGAAGAGTTATGTTCTTTATTCTAATACGTAGTACCCCGTAGTATGACTTTATTCAAGTGCAATATTAAGTTTAGTGATCCAAATCATTTCAGAATCCTCACTATAATCAAGTTTGGTGTTGATGGGCTTGATTTAGTTTTTGTATAAAAAAAAAGCTAATTAAACAAGTGAGATGACCTTTTATGTTAGGATAATTATAATTGGAGACTGTAAATACTACTCGTATATTACTATTTAGTATTTACACTTTACAGTCTTTAATAAAATTTGAGGAGTAGATGTATGTCAATACCCCCAATGCACCTTTCTCTTGTGTACGAGCATCTAAGCAAACTCTCAAGTAGCCCACTCTTTCGCTGGCTTCATTGGGTGGCGGCTCCACCGCTCCACCGCCCTTGCTTTCGATATTAGTCATGCCGCCAATGTTTAGAAGCGCGTAGCAGCTTCTCCATGGCACCAAATTACGCCCCATTTGTTAGGAGTTCTGTTCTTTTTTTCTGTCCTATTCTCATTTAGGCTTACTTTTCAAGAAGTTAAAAAGGAACTCAGATCATATGCCTTGAAATTGAGGAAGAAAATACTGGGTCTAATATCATTTATCTTTCCATTTGTGTTAAAGTTGAGACATGAAAAGGTGTCGGCAAAATCCGATTTCTTCTTTTAACGTGTTTGGTAAAAGTTAGGCATCAATTAGAACTACCCTTTATATATTATCATTAAAGAAAGAAAAAAAAAAAGAGTTAATATACATTTGACAATTGACACATCCCATGTGGGATGCCCAGTGAAGCATCGCAGCTAGATCAATCGGATTTGTAAAGAGTAAAGGGAGAATTAATGACCACATGTAATTAAGTTGATTGTAAAATTTAGGGATCACCGCCATAATTGCAATTTTGACCACCAAACTTGGGAGCTATCCGTACTCCTACCCATTTTCACATGATTAGAAATCTTATACTTATACCATCACGTATTTCGGTATTCATTCGTTATCCATGGTCTCTACCATTTCTATAAAACCCATAGCTTCAAAATTATATCTTAGTCTTGATATAATCAGGACATACTCCGTATCAAATAGGCAAATAAAAGTTTATTTGGGAACATATCAAAGTCTGAGTAGTTAACAATGTATCCTAATTTAAGGTGTAAGCAAAACAAGTTCAATTGAAAGAAGTGAAATGGGTTGCACAGTGATAGAGCGAGAATTTATACTTCAAAACTTAAAATTTCACCATATTTTTACTGCTTATAAATATTTATACGTATGTATATACATTAAAAAAAATCTTGGGGGCCGATGTTAGAACTATCTAGAACTGCCATTAGACCACTTGGAGTGGTGAGGTATTAGGATTTAGGAGTCCAAAATGTTAAAGATGGAAATTTTGGACTCCTAATTTCATTTAGTGGTGTGTTATAGAGGGTAGTAAAAGTGGGTAAGGGGATGGAGCCATGGAGGGGTGTAAAAATAGAGGGAGGGTTGAGAGGGGAAAAGAAAAGGAAAAAAGAAAAGAAAAAGAAAAAGTAGGCATGCGCGTATGTTATGCAATCCGTTGATGTCACGCTGATGTCATACCGATGTCATTGTAATCACAAAATATTTTAATCTTTTGTAACTTTTTTATTTGTTCTTCAAATTTTTCAAAAAATATATCAAAATTCATGAATTTTTATGATCTTTCATATGATACCAATATGTAACATATAAAATGGTTTTTTTTTTGGAAATTTTAACTGTTGAAGTTTTCTTGAGCCTAAAAAACATATAACACATATTTTTAATTCATGCAGCCTTCACAAATAAGTGAATATTTCATAATTTAACTTTACATGAAATAAGTTCATTTTTTGTTAACCAAAAAACGTAAAAAAAAAAAAAAATTAATGTAATTTATTTATTTTTATATCGAAATATGTCTTTTGTATTTTATAATTAATCAGAGAAAAAAATTAAAGGGAAAACATTACTTATAATAATTTAATTAATGTTATACTAAATTGATATGTAAAAAATGTGCAGAGTGTACTTTATTGACGCTGCTGGAATGCAGAGAAGTAGGAGTCAAAACACTGTTTTCATATAGATGTAGTCCTTTTTTGACATTTAGACTCTCACACCACTTCAAATGGTCTTAGCGGGTTACAATTAGGGGTGGGTGAACGGGTACAGGAACCGCGGGTCGGGCCGGGTAATATAGGTTCGAGACGGATTAGGGTCGGGTCCAAATTTTAGAAAACCCAAACATTTCGGGACGGGGCAGGTCCTTAAAAATTTAGGACCAAACGGGTCTTAAAATTTGAAATAACGGATACCCGGACCGAACCTCTTTAAAATATTATTTTAATAAATTCTATTATATTTAATACTCCGTATAATATATTAACAATGCATGGAAGATTTTCATATTCTTGTGTCTAGAGTGTAGACATAGACTTTCAATTAAAGAAACCGGCCAATCTGTTAAAAAGAGTTTTTAAGTCCATCTAATAAACTTTTTGTATTCTTGTCCTCAATTCTCTATTCCAAATGCATCAAACTTTTTGTAATATTTTATTGTCAACAAATACTCTCACTTAATGATTATCTTGCGTTTACTTATACTTTAATATTTAATATGATTAAATTGTTTTCATAGACAAATATAGTAACTAGCTTAATTTCTTGTGGCTTTATAGTGCTATCTTTTTACTTTATGAATAATGATTAAAATTTTAACTTAGGTGGTTGTGTGATGTTCAATTAATAGATTTGTTATTAGATACTTTGTTAACTAATTTAAAGTGTTGTTTTATATTTTCATTTGGATTTTTTACTATATTATGGTTACATTAATACTTAATTAGTTTGAGAATTTTATAACTTATTAGAAATTTCACTAGCCTTTCTCAGGCTCAGTTTACTATATTATGGGTAAGGCCCAGTTTCTTGAATTTTTTTCAATTACCCGGACTGATCGAACCACACCCACCCCTAGTTACAATATTTGTACATCCGTTACTTTCAATTAGTGCTGTATATATATTTTAGGAAAGTATATTTCATAATTAAGAATAGAAATACACATTCTCAAAAAAAGAATACACATATACTTTGTTGACCAATCGTACAATACTTTCTCATTTACTTCTTTTACAGGAGTTCACACGGTCACACCCTCTTCCTAGAACGTACCCTCCCAAAAATGATTAATGAACTATTCTTCTTCCATTGATTATGGATCTTATCATCCACACAGAGCCTAAGGTATGGCCAAAAGGCAGTTGGGAATTTATGATGACAGAAGAATGAAGTTGGGGCTGTCACTGACCCATTATTTAAGGCCAAATTAAAGGGTAATTAAAAGAAACAGGTATATATCAGTCACATAGGTGGGTGCATTTTCCTACCTAGCTTTGCACCCATTATTGCATATATATCCATACAACAGCCTCCTATATTGAAGGGAAACAAACCCTCCAAACCAAAACTGATTATGGCACATAACATTGCCATTCTCTTCTTCCTCACTACTTACCTTTTCATGATCACCACAGCAGATATGGCAGCTAATGAGAACAAACTCCATTATTATTACGGTAATAGTAGTAGCAGTAGTAGTAACAGCGATGGTGCAGAAGAGTTCCGCCGCTTCCACAGGAGGATAAGGCGGCACATCCATCCTGCAACCATTTCCAACTCATCGTCACCACCATTGCCATCCCCACCGCCATCGTCATTACCGCCTTCGTCATCACCGCTACCTTCTCCATCGCCTTCACAGTCACCATTTCCATCGCCATCACCATCGCCACCGTCGAATGGTTTTAATACAACAAGCATCCATTTTGAGAGGATTGTGTACAGAGGCCTGCAGACCGTCCCGGCTTGCAATGCGCTGAGGTATGGCAGCTGCCTTGGCCAGGCACTCAATGTCCAGAGGAAATGTAACTTGATGAACCGCTCATGTATTCGTTGATTCATGAATCGGTTTCAATGGAATTAATTTTTTGTTTCTGAGGATTAATTTCACTCTTGATCTGATCCTCCCCCCATTCATAGTGTGACATTTTGTTACTCCTTGTGACCTATCTAATTTGAAATTATATGACCTGTAATTGGTTCTTCCACTTTGATGAAATGAAATGGATGTTTCAATTTTGATTGTCCTACATCATTTGATGTCCACCTTTTGGCCGGGTTGATAATTTTGTTGAAAAACAGATAATAAATACTCCCTCTAATTTTGTTAATTAGTTTCATATTCTAAATTGCAAAAATAAAACTACTTGTGTCTCAAATTGATTTGCAAATTTGACTTTTCTTGGTTAAATAGTTACATTTTGTTCACTTAATTAGGATGTCATTTTGTAATTATAATCTAATTGGAGTTTACAACTTTGAAGAGATTTTAATGTAGTTTATAAATATGTAAATTTTAATTATTAAAAATTGAGTTAATTATCCATAAGGAGGAATGGAGCATTGAATTTTATTATTGATTGTCAAAAAATGTTGACTTTGCAAAACAAATTTGGACAAAGGGAGTACATACAATTACAGACATTAGCCTCCCTCTAAGCATACATGCTCATTAGTTAATATTACCTTCGTTCCCCTATTATTGTTCTAGATTCTATACATTTGATCAACACAAATCACTTTTAATTTTTTATCTTATATATCAATTTTTTATCAAATTTGATTCTGATTTTTGCGACTTTGTAAAGATTTTAATGTAATTTCTGAATATAGCGATCCGTTTTCTTTATCGTCAATTAACCATCCTAAACCACAACAGGAATATAATAGTGGGACGGAGGGAGGGAGTACTAAGAGTATGTTTGGCCCAACTAGCTGAAAAGATACTTTTCTGAACTTTTTAATACTCCCTCCATCCCGTTAGAAGGTTCCCACTTTCCTTTTTTGGACGTCCTGGTAGAAGGTTCTCATTTTCATTTTAGGAAACAATTAACAACCTTAAGTGATAAATTAATCATTAAATATTAAAAATAATACATTTATAACATCACAGTTATGAATACTAACTACATTATAATATATACCTATTAAAATTATTTCTCAAAATATACTCGAAGTACTTTATTTAATTATTGCCTAAATATTCGTGCCGTTTTTCTATGAGAACCTTCCAACGGGACAGAGGTAGTAACTGTTAGCATTTAGTGACTGAAAAGATCTTAAAAAGAAAAGGTGGTAGCTATTTGGTAAAAAGCTGACTGTTTGATTTAGTTCGGTTTGGTATACAAGCTGTTAGGACTAATTAATACTAAAAATCTTGAGCTTTTTCATATGCTACTCCATGTAGCATCTCAAAAAAGACCTTTTAATTTTTGAAAAGCTCTTAAAAATTGTCATTCCAAACATATAACTAGAAGCTTTTAGAGTCTTTTTTAACAAGGGAGAAAGACCAAAAATGACACCAAGGTTTTTTAACGAAGCTCGGATTAGACACTAAAGTTTTAAGTAGACCAATAAACACAAAATTATAATTTTTGGTTCCATTTTGACCACCCCATTAACCCCTCCGTTCCAAAAGCCCCTGCAAGCCTAACACTAGCCCCTGCCCCACTCCAGTCCAACACCCTACCCCTCCCCTGCCCCAGTCCCTGTTCCGCCCTTACCACTTCCCCAACTCCAGATCCGAACAGTCAAACCCCGATCCCCACCTCCTTAGCCCGAGTTCCGACCAGCCATCCCCAGCCTCCCAAACTAGCCCAACCCGAGCCCCAGCCACAGCCCCCTCGCAATCCCCCTCTCGGCCTCGTAGCCTTCGTCACCAACCCAACGCTGTCCCTCACCTATTGTCGCTGCCTACAACCGCACTGTAGCCCTCCCCTAGCTTCCGACGAGATGCTTCAGATCGAACGGAGCACGGTCAGATTATGTGATGTCCCGATTGTGCGATGGTGAAGTCTGCGATGGGTAACGGGTAGACTTTGACGCAGCGGTGGCTTCAACGGCGAGGCAGTGACACAGAGGTAATCTTCTAAGCAGGGCGATCGACCTCCATTGTTGTCTGCTCTCCTTTATCCAAGCCAGCTTTAATTGGATGGGGAGTTAACGGGGGAAGGGTTTTTAACATTGGCATTAAAGGGGTGGTCAAAATGGAACCAAAACCTATCATTTTACGTTTATTTGGTCTACTTAAAACTTTAATGTCTAATCCGAGTTTCGTTAAAACCCTTGGTGTCATTTTTGGTCTTTCTTCCTTTTAACAATATAAAAGTTAGAAGGCGCGCAGAGACTTATGGGAAGCGTATACTATACAACCGCCTGTACGGTGCCAGCCGTACAGCCGATGGCATTTTGGTAATTTTGGTGAAAAACACGGCTCCTCTTGAATGAGCATTAACGCAATATTGTTGATCATCAAGCCGTTTCTTTTGAATATTGGGAGCCTAAAAATGAGCATCCGGGTTCTCTGCTTTATATATTTTAATTGGCTTTCTTTTTATTAATTTTTCGTTTGAAATGTGCAACATTTTAAAATGAGCATAAAGAGGCACCAAATAAACATACATAACTTAAAAAATGAGTAACAAAAAAATCAAAAGCTTATTCGTGTATGCTCATTCATTTTGTGTTGTATACTCATTTGAGTTTAACACAATGTAGTATGATATGTTTAAAATGTGCTGCATTTTAAAATGAGCATAAAGAGGCACCAAATAAACATACATAACTTAAAAATTGAGTAACAAAAAAATCAAAAACTTATTCGTGTATGCTCATTCATTTTGTGTTGTATACTCATTTGAGTTTAACACAATGTAGTATGATATGTTTGAAATGTGCAGCAGTTTAAAATGAGCATAAAGAGGTATCAAATGAGCATACATAACTTACAAAATGAGTATAGAAAAATTCAAAAGCTCATTTGTGTATACTCATTTATCTTGAGTTCTATACTCATTTAAGTTTAACATAAAACTCATTTCTAATATATTCAATATTCATTTGTATATGCTCATTCATTTTATGCCTATACTCATTTTCCAGATTCCTCAACCAAATCTCAGTTTCCTAAATCTCAATATGTCGTCTCTGTATTCTCTGGCAAAACCCGTAGTCTCTGTATTCTTTCTTCTCGCAGGGCAATCGCAACACAGGCCAACAAAGAAATCCCAAGACCCGCCCGTCTCTTGTGCAGCAAAAGGACCTCCGTGCTTAAGGAGAAGTGAGCGACGACGAGGAGTAGTCAGTCGAAGGGGAAGATCGAAGAATCCAAGCAAGATTGAAGAAGCATGTGCGACCGGGAAGATCGGAGAAGTCCGATGCTAGGGCGAGAAGCGCAAGGGCGTAAAAAGGGCCGACTGTACCGTGCGCAGGGTACAGCCGGCTGTAGGATGTAATTTACCCCTACAAGTTAATTGAGAAAAACACTTGTTGCTCGCATGGACAATTCAATTGATCGGAGCAGTGGCGGACCCAGAAGTTTCCCGAAACAGGGGCACTCCAAAATAGATGAAAATGGGTCGGGTCGGGCCGAATTAGGTGCATCATTGGTCTTTTTTGTTAAGTGCGTTCAAATTAATATTTTTAACTGGAAATAGATTATTCAATGCTGACGTCAAGCAGTGAACATATATGGATTATAAATCTAGTTGTGAACTCATTAAGACAATTATAAACAATAATATTTGACTTTTGGAAAGAAATACATAATTCGACGGATAAGAAATGACTCATCTTTGTGCAGTTTATGATTTTACATTAGAATTTTCGCTATTTTTCATACAATAAAATGATCATGATTTCATATTTGAACTAGGATCATGTCGTTGTTATACGTTGTGCCACAAAATTTGTTGGTACTTGAATGAAATATAATGCCATCGTGTTAAAAATGAAGTATAATTCAAGTTTAGGATTTTATCATTTAATACAACTTTATTTATTAATATGATTCTATATATATATATATATATATATATATATATATATATAGGGGAAAGATCAAGTACAAAGTGTGCTTATTGTGCAAATATTTGTACGATGCACCTTGACGTTATTTGCATGGCATGTTGAGGTTCAAAGTATTGCACATTATAAAGTCATAAAAATAGCAGTTGCACATTAAGGTGCAACGAGTTGCACCCTAAAAAGTTGAGTTTTATTACAAAAATGCCACCTTGCCTTTAGGTCCTTTGGATCAACTCATCGGACGGTCAAGATGAGTTTGTACTTTGTAAATTAAGAAGGCTTTGTATTTGATCTCTATTCTATATATATATATATATATATATATATATATATATATATATATATATATATATATATATATATATATATATATGGGGAGTGTTCCGGTGAGAATGGTCTCTTGGGAGAGAAATGAGAATGAAATCCAACCTTTCAATATTTAGATCCAATGGCATAGTAATTTTCAAAGTAGCGGATGTTTAACTAGATTCTCGGATTATTGAAATTGTAATTAAGGCAGCCGTTCAACTCAAAATAAATTTAGGGGCATCATGGTAAAACTCATTTAAGTAGTTGGACGCATGTGACGGTAGTGTGGCACTATAATGGGAAAACTTCCTGAGAATTAGGCTAATAATCAACAAGCATTAACTCCCTATGTTTTCTCTTACTTGATTTTTCTTAGTAATACGGAAATATGCTTTCTCTTACTTAATTTTCTTTTCAAATTTACTACTATTTCACATATAAATTTGGATAATTAATTTGATATAAAAATCATTATTCGAATTGTGCACTTTTCATGTTTGATTGTTTTCTAGAGTAGATAAAATATTTCATCAACCTGATTTTGTGTATTTGCACTAGAACATTGAATACTTGCACTTTTTTCAAAATATTATGCAACATCAAATTAATTAAATTAGACATTTTTGAAAATTTCGAGAATTTACATGTTTACTATGTTATTGTGCATTTCAAATTGCACTTCGATATATTTAGTTTGAACTTTGTAGAATATTAACTTACATTTTATACATTTTGTTGTGCACATCCATAAATGTCTTAAAAAATATGAACATAAATATACAAAGGTGCATTAATATATATATATAAAGTGCATTATTATATCACATTTTCTAATATTCTACATTAACACTTCTTTATAAAAGCAATGCACTTTTACAATGTGCGTCGTAAATATATAAAAGTGCACTATTTTTTTTTGAAAGGATAAAAGTGTTCTATTATATCACACTTTTTCTAAAATTTACATTGACACTTTTTACATAATGAAATACATTTT